GGACACAGGTTCGAGCCCTGGTCTGGGAAGATCCCACATGCCGTGGAGCAACTAAGCCCGTGCACCACAACTACTGAGCCTGTGCTCCAGAGCCTGCGAGCCACGACTACTGAAGCCCGCATGCCACAACTACTGAAGGCCGCGCGCCTAGAGGCGTGCTCTGCAACAAGAGAAGCCACCGCAATGAGAAGCCCACGCACTTCAAGGGAGACCCCACACAGCCAAAAATAAATTAAAAAAAAAAGAATCCGCCTGCTAATGCAGGGGACACAGGTTCAAGCCCTGGTCCGGGAAGATCCCACATGCCGCGGAGCAACTATGCCGGTGCACCACAACTACTGAGCCCGCGCTCTAGAGCCCGCGAGCCACAGCTAGTGAAGCCCGAGCGCCTAGAACCCAAGGTCCACAACAAGGGAAGCCACCGCAATGAGAAACCCGCGCATGGAAACAAAGACTAGACCCTGCTAGCCGCAACTAGAGAAAGCCCGCGTGCAGCAATGAAGACCCAACGCAGCCATAAATAAATAAATAAATAAATTTAAACATTTTTTTTAAAAAAGGGAGATGGGATTTGGGGCCCAGGACTAGGAGACTTGAGTGAGACCACTGCCATTGGGGTATGATAAAGTACCTCCACCTTTGCTCCTCTCATCCCTTACACCGGTGGCCAGATGTTGCTGGGAACCGGGAGTCAGATCAATTTAAGGAAGAAATTTCTGACTCAGAGCTGTCCAAAGATAAAATGAGCGGTGTTGAGGGGTGGCAAGCTCCCAGCCACTGGGATTGTTGGAGAAGAGGCTGGATAGCTAGCTGGTGGGATTGACAAGGTCCCTTCCAGACCTAGTAGTCCATGAATCCACAGGGGTCTGGTCCGCTGGCAGTGGCAATTCTGGAAGAACTAATCTGCTCTGCTCTGACCTGTCATGAAGATAATGAGGAGGCCTGATCAAGGAAAGGGTGATGGGAAAGAGCCTGGTGATGAGGGAGTTGGGGACTAAGGGTAGGAGCGGGAGGGGAGGGGTATATACAGCTGCCATAACAAAGTACCACAAACTGGGTGGTTTTAAACAACAGAAATTTAATCTCACATTCTGGAGACTAAAAGTCCAAAATCAAAATGTCAGCAGGGTTGGTTCCTTCTGAGATGTCGAAAGGAGAGTCTTCTCCATGCTTCTGCCAGCTTTGGGTAGCCCCAGGTGGTCCTTGGCTTGTAGATGCATCACTCCAGTCCCCTGTCTTCACATGGCCTTCTGCTCATAAGGACACCAGTTATATTGGATTAGGGGCCTACCTTACTCCAGTACAACCTCTTAATTTGACAAATTAGATCTGCAATGACTCTATCTCCAAATAAGTTTACATTCTAAGGTATTGGAAGTTAGGACTTCAGTATAACTTAGGGGGACATAATTCAACCCATAACAGGAGGCAACTTGCTTAATTCCTGAGCCCTCCACTTTTCCCACCTCTACAACTCCGGTGGTGGCGCTGCATGGAGCGAGGCTGGGTGGCTGGAGTGGACACCACCCCCTCTGTTGACCTGAGCTTGACTTTAGATACAGCCTAGCTCCCAGAGTGTTCCCAGGGCTTCAAACTCCTGCCCTTCCCTAGAACCCACTTCTCCTCACAACAGTCACAGCACCCACCACTGGGAAACACGTGTATCCTGGCACCTTAGAGCCTCAAGGTCTCTTCTCTCTCATCAAGGTTCTCCCGGCTATCTTTCATTCTCACCCAGGCAGAGATAACGTGCGGAGAGTGTGTGCTGGAGGGTTTTGGGTTTTTCTCCTCTTTTGGGACTCATCTAACAAAGACGTAGACAGTCCCCTAGGCTTTTGGCCTGTTTCACCCAGTGTTGGACAGCTGGTTACACTAAGTGAGTTCCCAAGATCTGGGGGGAGAAAGATTATAAACTACAATTCTAGGAACTTCTGCTAGTGATAACTTCCATGAGATTACCAACACAGAGGCAGAATGTGGTAAAATGGGGAAACGTCAGACTAGAAGCAGAAGTCTGAACTTCTATGACCACACGCTACGGATGGACCGTGTGACAGTGGTGGTCCCGTCACTTCTCCTCTCCTTCAGCTTTTCCAATGGTAAAAATAAGTTAGACTATTTTAATGCTGATGTTCTATGATTTCATAAAAGTCAGTATTCTATGATCTCACAATAGGTCTCTAAGGACCATTCCAATGCTGATATTTCATGATTTTATAATGGATAGTTAAGCTTTTTATGCTGGTTAAATGGAAGGAAAGAGGAGACATACTTCATTTCTCTGAAAGTCAGTTAATATCTTTGGGGAATGATGTCACCTTTGAGCTTCAATTTTCAGATCTATAAAATACAGAAATAACAATATGAACCTCATGAAGTGGTGGGAGCGAGGGTGCTTGGAGAGATGTACAGCTCGGTACAGACTCCAGCCGGAAACCTCTCGGAAGGTTTCCTCACCCAGAGCCCCAGCCAAGGCAGGGAAGAGCTCACCGAGAGGGCCGGGAAGGGGCGGGGCGAGGAGGTGGACATGGTTCTCGCCCCGCCCCCACCCCGCCCCAGATATCGCGAGAGGGCGGGCCCGCTTGGGTTTGGCGTCGGCGTCGCTCCGGCGTTAGGCCGGCTTCTCTCCGCGGGCCGCGGGTAAAGTGCGGGTGGCCTAGGGTGCTGTAAGGGCCGCCTGGCGCGCTAAGGACCGCTAGCCACGCGGCGTCGGCTGGACGCCAGAGCCTCCGAGTCGTTGTGTCGTGACAACGACTCTGGTGGCTGTCTCCGCGACAGCAGGTGCGACCGCTTCAGCCCCAGGCGGGCTTGGCGGCTGACTGGCGAGTCTCTGCTCGCGCCCAGCCCTTTCCTTCCTGTACCCGGCGCCAAGCAGCGACGCTGAGCCGACCGCCGGAGCGGCGGGCAATGGCGGCCTCGACGGCCTCGCACCGGCCCATCAAGGGGATCCTGAAGAACAAGAGCTCTACGACTTCCTCTGTGGTGGCATCGGCCGAACAGCCCGGCAGGAGTGTAGACGAAGAGCTGAGGTAAGAGCCGCGAGGGACGGCCATCGTCGCCCGGGTCGGCCTGGCCAGCCCCTTCTTCCCCGCCTGGGCGGCCTCGCCCTCCCCGCCCCCCGGCACTGTTGCCGACCCCCAGCCCGACCCCGGACCCCGAGCGCGGCGGGCGGGCGGGCGGGGCGGCTGCGTAGATGCGGCCCTTGTGCCGCTCGGGTCTCCCTCCGCCGGCCAGGCTGTGGGGTGGAGTGATTATAAAGAAGACAGGAGCTATGACGTTTGTTGTGTGGGTTTTAAGTATATACGCATATATAATAATTTTAAAACATACACCATTATCTTTGAGCTTCTGGAAATTGGGAATGTTAAAGAATCAAATTGAAGTTAAAGCTTCACCTGTTAAGCATTTATTATTTCTTCACTTCGTATCGGAGAGTCTTTAATTCAATGATTAAAGTGTATTTTCTTGGCTTGGGAGCCCTTTAAGATCTAGTCTCAAGCTAATAAGAGACTCCTCCGAAAAAGAGATAATTTCTCCATTTTTTCTAATTGCCCTTCTGCCATAGTCCTTCCTTTTTAGGTGAACATTATCACAAGAATCATGCCACATTCACTCTCTTGGGTCCTGGTTTGTCATTATCTCTGCATTAAAAGAAACCGAAAATTTCCCAGTCTGATCTGTATTTAATGGAAAGCTACTTATTGCTAATTATTTTTGCATCTGCAACGAGAGTTTGAGCGCTTTCTAGTCTTTGTTCCTCTTGAAAGACATGTAAGCTCAGAACAGTTCAGAAAGTACCAACTTAAAATGATCCCGTCATAGTTTAGTTGCTTTTGCATACTCACAAATACATATGTGAAAAGATGTTGACCCATAGCATTGTGTGTGATAGTAAATAATTGGGAACAACCCAAGGTCCCTTAAGAAGGACTGGTGAAATATTAATTATGGTACATTAGTATAATGGGAAAACAGACCAGCCTTTAAAAAGAATGAAATAGATGTTAATGCGCAGAGAAAGATATCCAAGGTGCAGTCCTCAATGGGGAAAAAAAAAAGGTGCAAAACCATATATATAGTGTGAAATACAACACTGGGTTAGAAGTCCTCGGGGGCTTGTGTGTTCTAAGATACTAAACACATAAGGACTCTACATTCTGGAAGTAAGCCCTAAGAAAAGTTGTTGAAATCTGTGAAGTCATAAAGCTAAAATGAGGATGTTCCCGAAAACTTTGAATATTGGAACTAGGGCACACCTGTTCAAAAGGATCATTTTAGGGCTATAAAAGGAACTACAGTTTGGTGATGGTAAATTTATGGGGATTTATGTTACCTAGGGGAAAACATTAAGTAGGATCACAGCTCAGAATCATGGCCTTTGGGGGTTGGAAAGGACCTTAATTTGTCTAGCACCTCTCCTACTCCCACTCTCTTTTGGATGCTTGACTCTCTTATGTTCTCCAACATGCAATTTTCAAACCTCTATTTGGGGTAAGCCGCTTCATATGGAAAGGGGGGGGGTGTTGTAATGGGATTAAGAAAACAGTCTTACTAGAGCGTAGCTATAACAGGAAGACCAAGATAGTCTTAATAACAAAACAAACTATGGAAGGCTTTTATATGATTTCAGGGTGTTCAGCAGCAAGAATGTGGTTCTCACTAGCATTTAAGTTATTTGCCTATTCTCCAGTGTGAGCTTCTTTTTGTTTGGCTACCAAGTAGTTTATTACTTTCTTCTGTCTTTTGCTGCTGCTTCTGTTTATTCTCAACTTTGGTCTGCTGTAATTTCTGGTGGCCCCACTCTGTGTGTTGGCCTCTTTATGTAATTGACGGGGGTTTACCTCCAGGTCCTTCTGCCTGGAAAGCCACTATACTAGACTGTCTCTCCTTCTCTAGGAGCTGCTAACAGGGCAGATTGACTTAAAGGGGGCCTTTTGCAAGGCAGTTGACTTTGACTTATGTAAATTAGGAGGTTATAGTCCTGTGTTCAAAGGCAGTTACCAAGCCCTAATTCATTGAGGTTTATGATGTTTAGTTCTAAGTAGTAAAAGGGGATGGGTTTTTTCATGGTAAGTGTTATTTGACTGGAAAGGAAATAAACTAATTCTATTGGTAATACAGTACACATTGTTATTTATGGCACAGCTCATGCAAACAATATTAGTGACTTTATGAGAGCCTCTTTGAACAGAAACAATGAAAGTATAGGTGAACACATTTGAAACAAACTTTTTGTAATGTTTAAGTATAACCAGTATTTTCCCTTTCATGTATAAAGGACCGAAATAGCTCTTTCAAGTACAATGCACTTAAAATTCAGAAACTAAAAAGTACGGTGTAATGGTCTAACTTCAAATGTTGGAACAAGAGTAGGCAAAATAATCTCATATTAATGTGAAAATGACCGGGGATTTAAGTCAGTTCTCACTGTTCTCAGTAGTGACATTCTATAAAGTCACCACAAACACTGAGTTAGTTAATACTGAACTGTTACTCCTAGGGGGAATACAGACTTAGGTTCCTGTAAGCCTCTGGTCACAACATTTTCATCAACCAATCAGTCCATAACCTTTTAAAATTTCTGTTTCTGTTTAAAGACACCTAATTTTATACATATTGTTGATTCATCAACATTGAACACATGGCCAATAGCACTATAACTCATGCCTGAATGAAGTTTATCTAACACATACTTTCTCCATAAGACACATAACAATCTTCTTGGGCTTGGGAGCACTGGACAGCACTTAAGCACGATCTTTGGGAGCCATTTTGAACAGCTAATTCACCACAAAAGCAAAAAACGTGATACTAAATAGATAAAAAGGACACATTTACAGTAAGAGAGCTGAAGCAAGGTTTAATCTCAGCTGGGAACATGTGCATCGGACAACTCAAATTTTTCCCTGCTCTATGCATGTCAGAGAGACAGAGAAATCTCAAGTATTGATTTTGGAGTTACAGATAAATTTTGTCAAGTAGTCAGATTTGCAAATACAGAATCCACGAATAACGATCCCTTTCATTGGTGCCATTATCATGTGAAGTAGAGTGGTAGTTTCCCTTTTCTGCACAAACCACTCCCCACCCCAACGCCATCAGGTTGTGAGAGGGTATAATTTAACAGAGCATTTTATTTAACATAAAGAGGTGTTACTAAGGGATTTTTTTTTTTAAGTCATGAGTTGTGCTATTCCACTGGTCTCTAAATTTTTTGATTGTGCATCATTTTAGTGGGAAAAACTTGAAATATGTTTCAAATATGTTTGTTTATGATTTATATATATATACTACTATCATTAGATAATATCTCAAGATTCAATATATACTTAAAGTGAGGTTTTTATACTGCTGTATTTCAAGTAGTCTTTAGGATTTTTTTTTATACAGTTCTTGTCCAACCTTTTTGTTTTTTTAATGTCCCAGTGGTGTTATCTTCTTATTCTCTGTACTTTGCATTGGTACTGTTATCTTCAGTGAGTGGTTGCTTCAGGTACCATTTGTCAGGTACCACTTTTTGAGGGTTAGTTCAATTAAAACTGGACATAGTCTGTAAATCCACATAATTAGGCATAGATAATGTCAATATATTGCAGCACCCTGCTCAACTAATTAGAACACCACTGTCATCACTATGATTGTGGAATTTCCATTCTTTCTGGATACTTAGAATATAGTGAACAACCTGTGAAGGTCAGACATAACAGATCTAGTGAGTAAGTACGTGTGTTTCATCAAAAACAAGACACCATTGATTCTAAGATGTACCATGATTTTAGGTAGCACCAAGAAAGAAAAAAATACTGCCAATTTAAGATGCCATCCATTTTAAGATATATTCTGTTTTCAGAAATATTAAAGTGAGAAAAATGTTCACTAGGAATTGTTGAAAATATTGTGTTACTAAAGCCTATCTTATTAGAAGTGTTAAAGGTTAGTGATTAATATGGGGCCAGATTGCCTGGGTTCAGATCCTCTTTGCTACGTATTAGCTCTGTGACTTACAGTGCGTTATTCATTATATCCCTGCCTAGTTTAATTATTAAATGAGTTACTAAATGTAAAGTGTTTAACCCTGTACCTCACCCTCAAATGTTGGTCTTATTCTATTAGAAATACAGAAATCTAATTTTCCCCACTTTTGGGGTTGTTGTACACAGTATGCTTTGGATTCACTGTGTTCAATTCAAATTCTGTAGTAGTCTTAGGTAATGTAGGCAAATTCTGCTTGGAAAAATTGTGCTTATATTAATTTCCTTTAATATAATTTTATATAAGCATGCTTCAGCTTTGTCTTTTTCTGCCTATAAAGGGATATGGAATACGGTCAAAGGCCCACTGAGTAAAGTTTTCCAAAAGTGACCTTTTATTTACTAATTGCTTTTATTTTTAAGTCTTAGTTTAATTGTTCAAGCTTCAAAGGCTTGTACTTTGTCACCCTACAGAAGTTGAATCTTCATTTAAGAAAGAACCATTTCTTGAAATGTGGGGTTAAAGTTTAACACACTGAAGCAAAATCCTGCTTCCCACTCCAAACTCACCTAACACTGTAAAAACGAGAAGGTCACAAGCAACAAGAAGTATGAGTAGGTCTTTGAGATGGCATCATATGAGCTATCAAAGTGAAAGTGAGAATTGGTGACTTTTTCTGGTGCAGATTTAGGCTGCCGGAAAACCAATCACCCAAGAGGGAGGAGGGAGCTGAAACTAGCAGGTGCTTTCACCCTCACAGCAGATCTTCAGTGTAAGTGGTACTGTGCCTATTTTTTGTAAGTGGAGCTGATGGCCCAAAGAAGGTCACACGAACAGTTTGTGGTAGTATTGGGAATAAACCAAGTTCACTCCTTGGGTTTTGTTACTCAACTGATGTTAATTCTACCAAAATGTAAGAGATGCTAATTTCCATATCCAGTGTCCTCTGCAGACAGTTTCTTTGACTTCATTACTTTCCTCCTAAGAATTTCCAGCATTCTTTGGAGTCTGTTGTTTTATGCCCTTATTGAAAGTTCATGGTTTTGCAAGATAATAT